GCAGATTGCCAGGGAGGCTGAGGCTGCCATCTATAACCAGCAGCTGTTTGAGGAGTTGCGCAAGGTCACTCCTCTGAGCCAGGACCCCACCGAGGTGACAGCCATTGGGGCCGTGGAGGCATCCTTCAAGTGCTGCGCTGCGGCCATCATTGTGCTGACCGCTTCGGGCAGGTAAGAGGTGAAGGGCTGGTTCTCCTGGGATGGGGGCTGTGCTCTTGGAGAGAGCGTGGAGCCAGGCTCCTGTGTGGAGGCTGAACCTTTGAGGGTGCCCAGGGGAGGGGGCAGCACAGAGGAGGAGACTAGTGGGTCAGAACCTTCCCCTTGGAACAATGTGTATCACTAACTCCTGGCCTGTTTAGCACCCTTTCTGCAGGGAGCTCACGGCGCTTCCAGATCTCACAGACCTGAATGGAGACAGGGCTATCCTGCATACCAGGCTGAATCCAGGGAGCGAATATGTGGATTGAGGCTGTTTTACTCCTTTTAACCTCCCGCCTTTCTCACAGGTCTGCACAGCTGCTCTCCCACTACCGGCCTCGTGCCCTCATCATCGCCTTGACACGGAATGAGCAGGTGGCACGCCAGGCACACCTGTATTGGGGCGTCTTCCCTGTGCTTTATCGGGGGGTACAGCAGAAGGTGTGGGCAGATGATGTGGATCGCAGAGTGCAGTTCAGCATAGAGATGGGTAAATGTGACCCTCCCCACAACACCTGCCTAGCCCAGCCAGCTCCCCTCTACCACATGCCCAGCTCAGCCTTTCCCCCAGTGCCCAGTCCCAACCACTCCACCCAGCCCCCAGCAATTCCCATCACGCCATCTGTCTGGCCCAGCCAGCTTCCCATCCCCCTGCTGCTCCATGGGGACCCCCAGGGCCACCTTGCCCCCGCTGCTCCTGCCTGACCTTTCCCCAGCCTGCTCTCCCCTCACTCACCAGCTCCTTCTCCTCCCCAGGGAGGGTGCATGGATTCCTCTGCTCCAATGATGTCGTCATTATCGTGACAGGCTGGAGACCTGGTGCCGGCTACACCAACATCATGCGGGTGGTGAAGGTATCGTGAGGAGCTGCTGGGAGAGAGGGGCTGGGGCAGATGCTTCCATCTCCCACACTGGAAGTTCCCTGCTCCTGCCTCTTCACTCTATGCTTTGGCCCTGTCTGTACCACACAGCTTCCAAGCTTCAGCCAGTAAACCTTCCCACCCAGGACTGCTTCCCTGGCATTATTGAACCAGCCCCCCAGGGGCTCTGTGGATACGTCACCAGCATCACCACAGGGACCGCCCCAGACCCGGAGGGAAATGAGGGAGGAAGATCCTAGACTCCAGAACACAAACTCCCCTCACCTATGTCCTCCCAGCTAGGATTCTGCCACTGCCCAGGGAGGCCCAACCAGGAGCTGTTGTGGCTCCTGGACCCCTTGGCAGCATGGGGGACCCTGGATGGGGTGGAAAGGGGGCAGCTGGGGTGAGGATGATGAACACAAAGGCATGGGAGTGGGTAGGGTGTTTGGCACTGGGGACATTGGGGCTGGAGACGGAAGCATGGGGCAGAGACAACTAGAACTCAGTCACACACTGGCACGGTGGGTGGATGACACCCTCGGAGGGGTCAGCACAGCAGTATGAGCATGGGCAGGGGAAGGGGCATGCCCATCCTGTGCTTCACCAGCTGAGGAGCTCCTGCCCCAGGGTGGGAGTCGCCCTGGGCTGAGACCTCAAGCCTACGTCACCCCGGCTCTGATTCTGGGGAAGTTATCAGAACTAGCTCCTTCCTCCCACACCTGCTGGAAGAAGCCTGTCCCAGCAGCTGTGTCAGGCTGTGGAACATTGGAGCTACCAGGGCCCTGCAGCATGTTCAGGCATCTGCCCCTGGGGGCTTCCCATGTGGCCAGGATCCTGCTGGGGTGTGGGGAGGGGGCTAATGCTGGGGGACGGCCAGAGGAGGTAGACACTCCCCTGGCCCTGCTTCTGAGCAGCCAGAAACCTGCTCTTTCCCCAGGAGGTCCCTCTGCTGCAGGTTCCCCAGGGACAGCTCTAGCTTCTGTGATGGGGGCGGGGCTGGTGCTGGAAGTTTTCCCCTCCCTGGGATCAGGGAGCAGCTGGGCTGGTGCTGTAGCACCCACCCACCACCACCACCACCACCACCCCCCGGGTCACTCACCCCATGCGTTTCTGCTCGTGCCCATGTGCTGATTGGCAGTCTCCCTGTTATCTGCCTTGATCTGCAACTAAACTCATTTTAATCAATCTCTGCCCAGCTCCCTGTAATCCCTTTCACCAACTGCTGCTGCTCCCAGAGGCACTGGGCCCCTAAAGTTAAATCCCACCAATCCCACTTCTCCGTGGCCATAGCAGTGCCGGAGGCTAATGGCCATGGAAGGCTCCTGGCTTCCAAGGGACAAGCTGATGGGACAGAGTCCCTACTAATTTCTGCAAACCCAGCCTCCTTGAGGCTGCATCTAGCCCACCCCAGGGCCAGGCTCTGTGGGAGAGCGCTGCAGGAGGGGGAGCTGGGTTGCTCGCTCTTCTGAGCTACAGGGGTTTGGGCCATGCTGGACTGTACCACTCTCCTCTCTGGACTGGGGCAGACAGGGCCTGCCCCTGGAGCTGCTCTCCCTTCACAGCCACTGGGCAGTCCAGGGGCTGTGATTAGCCTGAGCTCTGCTCTGTGGTGCCTGACCCTGTCACCCAGGCAGATGGAACTGGAGAACTGGTGAGTAAATCTGAGCTCTCCCAGCATCCGGACCATATGGGCAGAAATGACATTTCTGAGCAAATGCTCTTTTCCCTTCCTCCGGCCTCAGTGCATGCAAGAGAACAGCCTAGACAGAGCCCTGCTCTGCTGAGCCCTAAGGACCTGCACCCACAAAGCCAATCTGTGCAGGGGGGGCCAGTGTAATTTCCCACCTTTTTATGGGGCCCAAAGGGTTAACTGTGATGTGGTTACTCATAGTCATCTCCTGGTGGAAGCCCCCTCTGGAAGCAGCAAAGCCAGGAGAGCAGCCCTGTCCCAGCCCCAGGGGCCAGGCTAGGTAGGACCTGTTCCAATTTCTATACAATGGCCCAGCCCTGGGGCTCCCAGCAGGTGCTCCCTGCACTCCCTCTCTCCTTGGGCTCATGGATGAGGGAGCAGAAGAGCCCTGGTGCAAGGTGCATGGGTGAGCTTCATGCCTGTGAGAGCCAGGGCTCTAAGGGGCACAGGCCTCACATGCACCTTGCTCCAGAGGGATTCCCAGCCCCAGCAAGGGGACTCTCTCCCTGGCAGCTGTCAGTGCCACTGACCATCATCCACACAAACAGCTGGTAGGCTGCAGCGCTGCCCCTGGCATTCCCAAACAGGGACCCAGGGATGCAGGGAGCCCAAGACCCAGAGTCTAAGATGCTCAGAGTCAGCATAATCTGAAATAATCAAATTAACGAGAAACCTGCTAATCGGGGCTGAACTCCTCCTGTGTCATGGAGCCTAATTCCTGCACAATGAGGGGCTGCTGCTAGCGCCTCCAGTGAGTAAATGTCCTGGGGACAGACGGACACAGGGGCACCTGCTGCCCAGCCCTATTCCCCCCCCCCTCCCCAGGGGGTAGACAGACACTGCTGTGCCTCAGGGGCAGTACTGGGAGTCCCAGCTGGGCATGACTGGGGGCCAGCGCACTGTGCTAGAAGCCTAACTGGGGACTGACAAGGCACTGCTGCAGGGAAGCTTGCAGCCCTGGGCACGGCTGGGGAAAGCGTGCAGCATTGGCATTCAGCTGGGCACTACTTTGAGGTCACTCCTTCTGCTTTTCCCCATCTTGAACTGGCTAGTGGGATACTGTAAGGCTGCAGCAGCTGCCTGTGGATGGGCTCAGATCTATACCCCAGGGCAGGGCCATGGGGCTTGCCTTGGGTTTTGGCTGGATGCTGCACACGCCGCAGAGGGTTCTGTTCCCTGCAGAAATGTTCGTTGGCTGCAGGGGTGCCTGGATCCCCAGCAACAGCCCATTGTGCCCTGTGTGACCTTGATTTAATCTGCTTAATGCCTAAAGTCCAAGCTGCAATCAGGCACTATCAACCCTCCCTCCCCCCAGTTAATAAATGGAAGAAAGATTCTAAAGATTAAATACTAATCCCAAAATAAAGCGGGGGGTGGTGGTGTCCCAGCTGCTGCCGCTGTGTCTGTGGGGGAGTGTTTGCTGCCCGTTGGGGAGTGGGTGATGTATGTGTGGGGGTACGATGCAGCCAAACCCTCCTCTCGGCTCCTAGGATGGAAGTGGGGGGCCAAGTGCAAACTGCTGACTCAGTACGCTATCCTTGTTTTAAAAATCCACCACAGACTTACCCCAGTCAAGCCGCCCCTTCCCCCAGCTCCCTCTGTTCAGCTAACATTGTCTGCCTCCTCTCTGTGTGGTGAGAGCCTTCTCCTCTGCAGTGCCTCCTGTCCAAAACAACTGTGCTGGCCTATCAAGGCCCCACTGAAATCTCAGGGAGAGCCCAGCTTCTGTCCCCATCTCTCTCGGTCTCTCTTTTTGGCCTTGCCTGCCCCTCTGCCGCACAGCTTCCTGGCTCCAATGAGGGCTCGGGGGATACAATTTTTCCGCCACCCCCATCTACAATCCTCTCCCAGTAGCTAGATTTTGCTTTGCCATTGGTCTTGGGAAGCAGCATTGTCCGGTTTCATTGCAGTCCCTGGACGAGCCCAGGCACCATTACAATTTCATCAGGGTTGAAGGGCTTTGAGAATTACCCTGAACTGCCCCAGAGAGCAAGGCAGACTCTGAACTGCCAGCACCAAGGTGCCTGCACAGGCATTGCCTGAGCAAAGGGCACAAGGGGGCTGCCTTCCCTCTGGCCTGTTGTCACTAATAGGCACCATGACCAAAGAAGTCACGGGCGGGAGGACATCTAGAGCTGTGACTGCTGAAGAGCAGGGGCTAGGGGCTTTTCTAACCCCAGCCGCAGGTGATGGGTGGGTAGCATTTCACTGGGCCGCAGCTGCTTTATTGACAGAGGTGCAGTTAGATGCCAGCTTGGAGTCACTCTTTATTATTTAAATCTGTTATGTACAACGACTGAAAATTGAAAAACGCTTTTAAAGTCTCTGCAATATGAAAACTACAAGCTCTGTACATCGACTGCTGTGAGTGCAAGAGTGAAGGATCATGGTCTTTGGTGACTAGACTTGCACACACGTGCACGCACACGCACACACACACACACACACACGCAGGGTGCTTCTACTGTGGCCTCTCCCCCAGCCTGATTCCCCCTGTTGCTAATATGGGCGGGAGTGACAGCCTCTCTCTAGGGCAGAAGCTATGTCCTGCTGCATCTAGCCCTCCCCCACCTCCTTGGGGTGACACAAACAGACACAGCTGCCGTGTTTGTAACCTTGCTTAGAACAAGGCCGGGCAGCACAGTGGTACTGTGCTGGGGGTTACCCAGAGCACCGTGAACACTGGCACGCTCAGTAGCAGGGCTGCCCGGGGTTAGCAATGACGGGAAACCTGCAGGGGAAGAGCCGCAGGGTGACACAGCCGCACAGAGCACGGTTTCCTCTCTGGAAAGACCAGAAAGGGTCAAGGCGCTGTGGAAGGAGGGCCACAGCTCTGCAGCTGCCACCTGGGCCAGCCCACACCTCAGCACTCTTCCTTTCAATGGAATCCTACCACAATTGCTACAAATGTCTCTACATTACGTAGTGTAAACAAGAAGATCCTGGAATGTTTGAATCTAAGCGACCTGACTGCAGGCCCCTTCTAGAGGAGCTGCTGGGACAGACACACGGGGCCAAGTGGAGGGGGGAGGCAGGGACAGAGGAAAAGGACACTCAAGTCCATGAGAAGAAGGCAGTGCTGAATACTCCCTCCAATACAGGCATCCAAGTGATTCCCACTGGACTGAACTCCGCCAAGGGCTGAGCTCCCCCTCCTCGTCCTGCAGTGAAGACTCTGGTCCCAACATCCCAAAATACGAATGGAGAGAAGAACTGAACAACTTACCTTTAAGAAATATTCTATGAAAAGAAACCCTAGCCCAACACCGTGCCTAGCCATGGCTGGGTCTATCGCCTCTAGCACAGGTACCTACAGGGCTGAGCTTCATATTGCTGACACTGTCAGTGCTCCCAGAGCAGGGACGACAAGGAACAATTTTCCTGACTCTGGTAGTGGAAAGAAGAAGCTATACAGCACAGCAGAGTTTGGGGGGGGGCACTACTCTAACCCGAATCAGTAACACGTTTGGACCCGAAAGCAACACCATCAGCAGAATTCAGCTGCTTAGCAGAGCCACGACTCGCACACACATTGCTAACTACTGGTTCCTGGAGAGGGGCAGCTCGGGCTGAGCCGGGAGACTCCCCGGAAATCCCAACCCTTCTGTACAGGGACGCAGAATCCTCCCCATGGGGAGGCTACAAGTGAAGGAAGCAACATTGCTTTGAGCTGAGATTCAGACAGTGACAGGGGCGTGACTGACCGGCATGGGGAGGGGGAGGGGGAGTGTGAGCATCTCCTTTGCAATCTCCCTGGAGTCACTTTAATGCTGATGAAGAACATCTTGGACTGACTTCCAGAAACTGGGGGTGGGTCTTTAGCAAGACTTGACCATAGACAGGGGGTGAGGACCAACCCTTCCCCTTACACTGAACTCCCTGGGACAGTGCTGCTCACTCAGACTAACCCCAGGCAATGGGGCACCAGCCTGCAAGGTAAGAGGAGAGAAACCCCCTGGCCCAGCTCTCCAAGACCCTCCAGGGGTGCAGGAGCTAGCAGTCAAGAGCAGAGGTAGCAAAACTCTTTCCAAGTCCCTTCCCACAAGAGGGGAGCAGAAAACAGTCTGTTCTGCTAAGAATACACCCAGTGAGAAATGCACATCTCGGTGTGATGCTGAGAGCCCTGAACTACAGCCCCTGCCCTTAGCCTGTGCTCCCTGCCTCAGTACAGTGAGGGGACAAGACCCAGCCAAGGAGGCCCTTTAGTCAGATCCCTGGGTCTGGCTGCCCCAGGGCTCCCAGAACATCCATCAGAGCCTGTCTCATGGGAACACACATCACCTTTGGCAACCCAGCATAGGCCCTGGGGGATCTGGGGACATTTCTATGCAGCTTTTGCATTTCCAGGCCTGGCTCCTTACACTGAGGGGAGTTGATTAATCTTCTCCTGACAACCCACGGATACCGTGAACAAGCCCCTCAGGGCAGCCAGCACTGGGCCTATGTCCTCAGAGTTAGCCTCCTCGACCCCAGGGCAGGCCAGGAGCTGTGAGGTCAAGGGAACCCACCAGCTCAAATCCAGCCCAGACCGTTACAGCCAGGACAGCCCTAGCCCACGGCCCCTTTCTACAGGGACCATCTGACTATAAAGACCAGGTGATCGGAGGGGTGGGGGATGAGACATGCCTGCTCCCCGTGCCTCCCTTCCCCAGGGAACTGGGTTCTCTAGGGCTAGACGAATTCGCATGAGCTCCAGCTTCACACATTTAAAGTTACTCTATGGGAGAGATGGGGCAGCTGAGATGTGTTCACAACCAGCAGTGACTTGCCAGGCCTCTGGGGACAAAGGCCACATGTATGAGGATCTGTGTGGCCTCTCAGACTAGACCAGCTGGGGATAAGAGGGAGAGAGGGGAGACACCTGGAGTCCTGGGGACTCGGAGCTGCCTGGGACCACAGGGTGCTGGATGGATTCATCTTGGCTTCCTGGGTTGGCCATGGTAGGCAGTGCCATGGGGCCCCAGGTGTCCTACTGTGGGTACAGAGGCTTGGAAGCTGGAGTGAGGGGGATTCCAGGCTCTCAGGAACCCCCCATCTCCTCCCGCTCTGACCCCCCAGTGCAAAGGCCTCTCCATGGGGTCCATCTCCCCCACTCTGTCCCCGGCTGTGGGTGAGGGGAAAGGCCTTATCCTGGGGCTCTGGCCCTATCCCCCTCACCCTGCCTCCCCTACAGGGCAAAGGCTTCAAGCGGGCCATTGTGGGGACGCATCTGGGGGCTGGGAGAATTTCCTAACAGAGAAACATGAGTGGGAGGAGCCCCCGAGTGCCTTCCTGACGCTGCTCACTGCGGTGGGGCCTATGCCCTTCAGGGCAGGGGCTGGGCCCCTTGGGAGGGGGTGGAATGAGGGGATGGGGCAGGGCCCCATAGCAAGGTTTGTGTCCCCGGGAGAGACAAAGTGAAGACAGCACTGATGGACTCAGCCCAGCCCATGGCCCCCCTGCCCCCTTGCTGTGGGGTGCAGAAGAGGCTTCCTGTCGTCAGTGGAGTCAGGAGTATCCCAGAGTGACCCCAAGGCAGAGCCTACCCTGCAGCCAGGCACATGACTCAAGCAGAGTCCGTGTCTGTGGTAGGTGGTCACCCCTGGCCATCTCCTCTCCTTGCCCACTCAGCCTCAGCCCTGGGTGGGGGCTTTGGGGGAGGCTGTCCCCCTTTCTCCCTGCCCCAGCCCCATGTCAGACACAGCCCCAGGAGCACAGCTCTCCAGAGAGTCCACTCCTCTCCCTCCCCCACGCTTGGCTACAGCGCTGGGCTCTCACATGTTGGACGGGAGTTTGGGCTTCCCACTTTCCACCTCAGGGCTGAACGCCACGGAGCCCTTGCGGGAGGGGCCTGCCGCATGCCTGGGTGTGGAGACGGGAGACTGCGGCGTGGACGCTCCACTCACGGGCCGGCTGGATTGGACTAAAGATCCGGAAGGCATCTGCTGCGGGTGTGCTGGCTGACCTGGAACCCCAGGGGGTGGCTTGGTGAGGAGTCCAGCTACCGAGGGAGATGACCTGTGAGCCAGGTTCCCTGCTGACTTCCTGCCCTGATGGGAGGAGCTCCCGTCTGCTTGCTGGGTGACTTTATTGGGGAGGGATGGCTGAGACGCTGACAGGAGCCGGACGTCCTGTGTGAGCCTCCCAATAGGTAGGCCCTGGATGCTCCTGTGCTTCACCAGCTGCTGCGGCTGCATCAGCAGCGAGATGTGGGAGCCGGTGGCTCGGGACAGGCTGTAGTGGAGAGTTCTCCCTGCTGGGAGCACCTGCTCAGAGCTGGGGGACGGACCCCCTGCTGGCTGCTGGAGAAGTGACGTGGAAACTGAGGTGCCTCGGGACTTGGAGAGCTGGGGTTGGGAGCCCGTAAGGGGCTGCTTTGCTATTGCCAGGGGCTCCCCCTTCTGCACCAGCCTTGGCTGTGGCAGTCCCACGTGTCCGGCCTTCGGCCCCCCGCTTTCCAGAGGCGACTGGGACTGGACCATAGGGGATGAAGGGGAGTTGGCTGCAGGCGTCTGCAGGTGGGGCTGTATACTGGATGGGGAGCTCACTGAGGAGGGCCGGGAGCCCCCCAGGCTGGGCTGGGACCTGCGCGCTTGCCTGGTGAGCAGGGTGGCCTCAGGCGAGAGCGGGCTGGAGATGGAGGAGGGTGGCAGGAAGATGTGGGCCTGCAGGCTCTGCTGGTGAGTCAAGGCAATGGCCACGTTGGTGGTGGCAGCTGCCGTTTGCAGTGGCGCATGCACCAGGGGCTCCCAGATCACCGGCTTGCCACTCAACTCCCGGCCCACCGCCATCTGCTGCAGGTCCTGGATGTTGTGGGCCATATCCCGGTCATGCTTGACGATCTGCTGGATCATCTCATTGTTCATGGCCCCTGAGCTGTGCTCTGCTCGCTTGCGCAGGAGGATGGAGTTCTTCTTACCTGAGGCGCAGAGAGAAGACACAGGGTCACCAACACTTGCCTGAGCTGTGCCCCAGGGCCAGGGGCACCATGGGAGAAACAGGCAGCTAGGAGCATCCCCACCATCTTACAGATGGGGAGGGTGAGGAGCGGGGGGATAGAACCCAGGAGTCCTGGCTCCCTGCTCCTACCAGAGGGTTATGCTGACACTAGCGATTTTCTTGGCTGAGTGTCTCTCTAAGGCTATGTGAGAAGGGCGTAGACCTGGTGCCCTTGGGTCCCATTTGCCCCCAGGGCCAGCAGCTAGTCAGGTCGGCCCTCACCAGTAAGGACTGCAAGGGGGAGGCAGTGAGAGGTGGCTGAGCTTGGGGTGTGGGAGGTAACATATAGACCCTCCTTGTGAACAAAAGCAATGCCATATAGCAGGTCCCCTTACCTCCTACTGGGGAGAGAGAGGAAATCCCAGAGCAGGGCTGCCCAGCCCAGCCCCAGAGGAGGCAGGGAAAGAAATGTCCCTGACATTAGGGGCCCAAGGACAGGGGAAGGCAGTCGGGGAGTTGGGGGTACGTGCCAGGGCAGCAGCTGCTTGGGAGCAAGGAGATTCGTGGGGGTGGCTGGCATGCACTGGGGTGGGCGGTCCCTCACCGATGCGGTCCAGGCGGTCCATGGCCACGGTCTCAAAGGCCCTACGCATCATGGGGTGCTCCTCCAGCACCTCGTTGAAGTTATCCACCGAGAGTGAGTATAGGCGGCAATAGGTGTCGGCACGCACGCTGGCTGTCCGCCTCCCCCGCGTCAGCAAGCAGATCTCTGTGGGACACAGAGCTCGGCATCATGCCTACGGTCACCTCCCTGCTGGCATTGATCCCTAAAGCTGCCGCAGGCCGCGTCTTTACTCCCTGCTCTGGCAGCCAGAGAAGGGGAGATGGTTACCTTGTCTAGTGCCTCTTATGTTACAGGAGCTTGTGAGCTGAATGAAACTGAAGCACGAAGAGCGGAAAGGACCAATCCCAGGCAACGCAACAGCCACTTACAGAGTTGGAAACAGAACCCAGGAGTTCTGTGCGGCATGGCCACAGCTTGCTCTAACCACTAGACAGCACTCCCCTTCCCCCGCAGAGCTGGGGAGAGAGCCCAGGAGTCCTGGCTCCTCCCCCATTCTTACCCCCACTGCCTTCCCAGAGCTGGGGAGAGAACCCAGGAGTCCTGGCTCCCAGCCACTCCTCCCCCATTCTTACCCCCACTGCCTTCCCAGAGCTGGAGAGAGAACCTGGGGACTCCGGACAACCCCTCCTTTATACTTGATTGTGATCTTGCATATAAAGCAGGCTGAGAGAGGTATCAGGGAAAAGGTTCTGATGTAGTGAAAGTCATTTTTCTATCTATAGATGTGTATCATTAATGCATATTAAGTTGTGAGAATTGTGTTGTAGGGTGTAAAACATGCTGTAAATTGGGGAATCAGCCAGATATTAGCCCCCCAGAGACAACAGCAAGGAAAGTGACCAACTCCCGGGTGGGTGTCAAACAACCAGCACCAGCCATTGTCCAGCCAGGGAGCTACAATTCAATAACTCACCTGCATAAGGCCACACCAGGGGAATTGCTCAACCTTGCCTGGGGCCTCAGCAATGCCCATGAGACATGCCTGGCCTTGTATTCTCCAAGCACATGGGACTGAGGGTATAAAACAGGACACAGGGGCCCATGCTTCACCTTTTCTCCTCCCCCACCTATGCTGCAAGCAACAAGAAGACTTAAGACTCCAACAGAGGAGACTGGCCCAGATTTCAAGGGTGAAATCTGAGTACTATGAACTGCAATATCCAGTGGGCTGAGAAAAACTGCTTTATCTAGATGTTGCCCAGTCTAATAGGGTTGAGAGTTTAGACTGCTTATATTTTCTTTTCTTTTGGTAACTAACTCTGAAATTTTGCCTGTCACTTAATACCACTGAAAATCTATCTTTTGTAGTCCATAGATTTGTTTAACTGTTTATCTTTACCAATGAGTTTGCCTGAAGTGTGTGCTCAGGTTTGCAAAGGTTGGTGTGTGTTCACTTTCCATTGATGAAGTGGTGAACCAATTAATAAATCTGCATTGCTCGTCTTGAGCAGTGCAAGACGGTATATTCCTGAGGTACAGTGCTGGCAGCTGGGGGGAACGGGCTGGTGCCTTTCCTTGTCTGATTCGCGAGTGGCTCTGGGAGAATTCATGCAATCTAGCTGGCTGTGGGGCTCCACGTGCGACTGTGCTGAGTGATCACAGCGCCTGGAGGGGTTTGCTGCTGGTCACTAGCAAGGCACTGTGAGAGACAGCCCAGGCTGGAGAGAGTTAAGGGGGCACAGAGGTCCCACGGTCCCAGGCTGCACCCTGTGGATCCCGTCACATCTTCATCCCAGCCCCCTGAGCCACAGATGCCCCCTCCCATCTGGGGAGTTGCATGGCTGTTTCCTTCCTCTCCCAGCCCAGCCTCACCCCCGAAGTAGGAGCCGTCGGACAGCTTGGTCTCCTTGTTGCCCTTGGTGAGGATGCTGACCACGCCATGCTGGATGAAGTACATCTTCTTGCCCACGGTGCCCTCACGGATGATGAAGTCCCCAGGCTGGAAAACCTCGAAGCGCAGCTTGGTCAGCATAGCTGTCACAAAGTTGGGGTCGGCGTTGGCGAACAGCGGCATATTGGCCACCAGGTTCCGGCAGTTAAAGTTGATGATTTCCTGGGAGGAGGGCAGCAGAGGGTCACTTGGAAGCAATATACCCCTTTGAGAGCAGCAACCCGCCAGCGATCACCACCCAGAGGGGGCAACGGGGCTGCCCCTGGCTCCAGGACTCCCTACCTCTTTGAGAGGCTCACTCAGCTCCCCCAGGATGTTCTCCTCATCGAACATCTTGCCCTGGTAGCGGTGCTCATAGTACTCGTGGATCCGCTGGCGTGTGTCCCCGGGCAGCTTGTGGAATGACATGTACTGCTCCACTTGCTTGTACTGGAGGGAGAGACAGAAACAGTCATGCCAGGGCTGGAAACACCCAGATGGGAAGGGCAGGGGCTCCATAGGTGGGTGGGAGGGGGCCCATGCCTGCGGCCTGAGCCCCAGGGCAAGAGTGAAGAGTGCAGCGTGGTGCCAGGCAGCCTCCGAAGGCCTGGAACCAGGCAGCCCTGGGCCAGCTGTGCCGACACAGTAATAGAACCAGGGAAGAAGCTGGTAAGGAGCGGCATGGGTCAGGCAGTGTTTAGTGACACAAGTATCTGTTCATTCCCAGCTCATACCCAGGCCCGATCTCCCCTGCACCCACAGCACCAGCCCATCTCCTCCCCTGCTTGCCTCAAGGCCTGCCCCTTACCACCCTGCCTAAGCTTTGGGGCCTGCTTCACTCCCCCCAGTGCACTCACCTTCTCCTGGTACTGCCGGCGGGAGGAGTCCAGCGACTGGATCAGGGCAGTGGCGTGGCCAATGAACATGGCGTAGCAGGTGGCACCCACAATCATGCTGAGCATGGTGAGCCAGACGTCGGTCATCCCCTCCGGAGCCTGCTGGCCGTACCCAATGCAGAGCATGTGGCTCATGGCCTTAAACAAGGCATGGGAGTACTGCTTCCCCCAGGAGTCATTCTGCAGACAGGAGGGCACCTGAGCAGGCTGCAGCCGGGCTAACTCCTGCCACTGTAGCCAGGCATTTCTTTGACTTTGCAGCCTCTTTGTATCTCCCACCCCAGGGTGGGGGAAATGTGAACTCCCAACCAGCAGGGGAACAGGTCTGTGGCCTCACACCCCGGGGCAGGGCCCCGTTCCCCAGGGTGCGGCAGCTTCTGGGCTGATCTAAGGACCAGAGGTTTGCCCCCAGCCCAGCGCCCAGGGAGGCAGCAGGAGCCCCCACTGCCTGCTGTCTCTTGGCAGCTGGTGGGAGGGATTTCCCTTGTTTGTCGGATTTAATTAGTGGCAGAGATGTGCTGCAGCAGGGACAATCCCAGACTGAGAGATTCCCCTGTCTGACTGATGCCAGTGGGGCTGCAATCAGACTCCGGGATCGCCATCAGCCCCCCGCTGGACAGCACATGTGTGCATGGGTAATTAGCACAGGTTAAGAGTGTGCACATGGGTGTGTGTAAGAGTCTGCGTGTAGCAACGTGTGTGCCAGGGGATGCTCCCAGCCTGGAACATGCATGATGGTCTGGTCCGTGAGGTCTCCCAGGCTGGAGCCATCAGCATAAGGTTTATTTATCACCTGCCTATCCCTTTATAAACACTAAGCCTCCCCGACCCCATGCACACGCCACGATCCCCGTTACACAGACTGCAGCCCGGCTCTGCAAACTGCCCCAGTCTCTCACTCAGGAGATCAACCCCCACAAAGGCAGTTTTCCTGTTAGCCCTGCAGGGCCAGCCTGGCCTGGGGACAGGGGCAGGGAGGTCAAATTCTGCCCTCACTGACCCCATGCAGCCCATGGCCGCTGAGCCAGGTGGGAGGGGATCTGCCTTCCAGCACATTCATTGTTAACAGTGAGTGACACAGTGCATGTGTCATGGCCACAGTGGAGACTGGGATTCTGCACAGAGCCCATGGCCCTGGCCAGGGATTCCCCCCTTGCCCCAACCAGCCTGCTCCTGGGCACCGCTCCTCCGGGAGCCCACAGGAATACAGCTCTGTGGCGACAGTCTGGGATGGGGGATGGTTTTAACCAATTGCCTTGTAAAGTAAAGGATTTGCTCCTTATGTCCCACGACAAGCACCAGGGCAGTGGATGGCACCGCTCTGCCGCAGGGGTCTCTTAAACCAGAATGGGATGACAGGTGCTGAGGAGAGCAGAGACCACAAGGAAGGGACAGGCTGGAGCCCGACGGCCCCACCCCAGTGGACAGCAAATTCAGGGAGACACGGAGAGCCTGGGGATCTCAGGCTTCAGAGCAGAAGAGCCGGGCGGGGTGCTCACCACCATGTGATTGATGGCGACCCAGCAGTCCGCAGGGAAATCCTGCAGCATGGGCACCAGGAACTGCAGGCAGCCGTCCCAGTGGCACAGCAGCAGCATCATGCCGATGAGGTTAAAGATCCGCACCACGGCGCTGGCCAGGTCGTAGGTCATGTGGAAAATCTGAGCAAGGGGATAAGCCAGGAGAAAGACTGTGAAAAGCCAGCTCTCTTCTCCAGGTACTCGCAGCGGGGGACAGGGAGCCCCCAAATGCCCCTTAACCCCCCCCAAAGCCCCTCCCAGCCACAGGTCCACAAAATGCCCCTCCCCTGGCCAGGGGTTCTGAAGCCCCCCTTGATCCCTCCAGGCAGGGACCCCCAAACGCTTTTCCCCTGGCGATCCCACCTCCTCCCACTGGTGAATGTAGCGGATGAGGCGGGACAGGCGCAGAAGGCGGAGCAGGCTGAGGATCTTGGTGAAGCGCACAATGCGCAGGGCCCGCGCCGTCTTGTAGACGTCGGAGTCCACCTGAGTCTCCAGGTCGACGATGAGGAAGATGTAATCCACGGGTATGGAGGAGATGAAATCGACCAGGAACCAGCTCTTCAGGTACTTCATCTTGATGGTGTGCGGGTCCAGGATGATCTCCGTGTTGTCCTCCACCACGATGCCCGTGCGGAAGTTCAACACCAGGTCAGCCAGGAAGAAGGTGTCCGAGAGCACGTTGAAGACAATCCAGGGCGGTGTGTTCTCATCCTTGAAAAAGGTGATGCCTACGGGCAGGATGATCAGGTTCCCCACCATCAGCAGCAGCATGATGAGGTCCCAGTAAAACCTGCGGGAGGAATGGAGAGCGGGCACGAAGCAGAGGACAGAGGAGCAGGGGAATGAGAAAGGAGATGGGGAATGGAGCCAGGGAAGGAGAAAGAGAGGGAAAGAATGAAAACTTCCTTCTAGTAGCTAAACCTGCATGACAAATTGGATCAGTTTAAACTGGAGAGGGTTCAGAGAAGAGCCATGAGAATGATGAACGGGCATGAAAACCTGCCTTACAGTGACAGAGCTCCATCTGTTTAGAGAGAAGTTTAAGGGGTGATTTGCTCACAGTCTGTAAGTACCTTCCTGGGGAACAAGATATTTGATCACAGGCTCTTCAGTCTAGCAGACAAAAGTCTAACACGAGCCAACAGCTGGAAGTTGAAACGAGACAGATTCAGTCTGGAAATAAAGTGCAAATGTTTAAGAGTGAGAGTAATTAACCATTGGGACAATTTACCCAGAGCTGTGGGGGATTCTCCATCACCAGAAATACTCAAATTAAAAAAATGGGCTGTAGATCCAACAGGAACCGATTTGGGGAAGTCCCATGTCCTACGTGACACAGGATGTCAGACTTGCTGATCAGCAAGGTCCCTTCTGGCCTTGGACTCTATAAACCCCCTGAAGATTGCGTGCACATGCCCCAAACAGATATAGAGACCGGATGTGCATGCATGGACACGGACACATACCCTCCTCCCTCTGCCCATGCCCCAAACAGATATAGAGACCGGATGTGCATGCATGGACACGGACACATACCCTCCTCCCTCTGCCCATGCCCCAAACAGATATAGAGACCGGATGTGCATGCATGGACACGGACACATACCCTCCTCCCTCTGCCCATGCCCCAAACAGATATAGAGACCGGATGCGCATGCATGGACACGGACACATATCCTCCTCCCACTGCCCATACCCCAAACAGATATAGAGACCGGATGTGCATGCATGGACACGGACACATACCCTCCTCCCTCTGCCCATGCCCCAAACAGATATAGAGACCGAGATGATGGACAGGAACATTCTCCCACTGCCCATACCCCAAACAGATATAGAGACCGGATGTGCATGCATGGACACGGACACATACCCTCCTCCCTCTGCCCATGCCCCAAACAGATATAGAGACCGGATGCACACGTGCGTGCACACACACTTCTCCCCATTTGTCTCTCCACCTGGGAGGGCTGAGAGCAGCTTGTCATTCCAAGCTGCAGCTCGCCAGCCATCTGTGGGGGCGACACAACACGCCAGGCCAGACAGCTCTAATCCCAACCTTTGTGCCCCCAAACAACCAGAGCACAGAGGGGCTGAGTCTGCACCCAGCCCGAGATCCCAAGGGGAGAGGAATTAGCACAGTGGCAGGGAAGGAGAGAGAGAAGGCTCCAGATGGCTATGAAAGGAGCCGAGGAGCTGCTGAGGCAGCAAGGGATAGGGTGGCTGAGCCTGGTGGTACGAGCTGTGGAGGGGGAAGTTCTTGCCCCAACAGTGGGGAGATCCATGAAGGCACAAGACAGCCAAAGCTTGGTGAGAAGAGAACAGAGACCCAGCGTCTGAGGGGCTCTGTAACAGCACTGGTTACCTGCCAAGTGCATCTGATGGCCTTGGGTGGCTCTGTAGCACCCTGCCTCAGTTTCCCTTTCATTCAGTAACTCCACAAGGAGTATGTATCCTCCACCACCCCCACCACCCCATCGTGGGGGCTGGCCTCCCTCTCCACCTGGCGTCTTGCCCTGCTCTTCGTCTCCACAGGAGTTCCCAGGCCTTTTCCATCTGCTTACAGCAGCCTCCAGGCCCAAACCCTTCCCCCTGCTCATCACAGCCATTGCCCCAGCGTCCTCTCCCATCTCCTGCCTTCTCCTCTTCACAAGAGAGCAGATCTGTATAGAGCCCGGCTGTCTTTGGTGCAGCTATTAACGAGGAACAGGTGGGCCAGATCCCTTCCCTAGCCCTGGGCTAGGCTCTGAAAACAGCGAGGGTGATTCTGACCCAGAAGGGAGAGGGTGGAGTGGCGAAGGGGTAACCTCGCTGTGCCCATGCTGCTGACCAGAGCTTGGAGAGCCTGGCAGAAGAGAGTTGCAATAGTCCCCGTGAAAGGGGCTGAAGGCCGGGGGGAGGAGTCCAGGAAGGGGGAGGCAAGGCCCCAGGAAGTGTTGCTGAGATGGTGATGGCCAGTTCTGACGGTGAAGGAGGAAGAGGAGAGCTCAGGTTCAAAGATGATGCCTAGGCTATCGAGAGTGGGGGCCTTATGGAGAGCCCCTGTGGAAACCAACTCTTCCCCCTGGGGAGGGTGTCAGGCTGAGTCCTGGCAGCCCGGGGAGAGGAGATCCCTCCCGTGGATGAAGAGGCAGGGTACGGAGACCCTCCCTGGTGGTGCTTTACCCAACAGCAAGGAGTAAAGAGATTACACCTCCCAGCATCCCCGTGCAAACCTTCACTCCTGGCACCTCAGGCACCCACCAGGCAGGCGGATCAGGGTCATGGATGGGCAGATTGAGCCCAGAGGGGGGATGGGACTTGCACCCAGGGAAGCGGTGTCAGAGCTGGGGTTGCAGCTCAGGTGATGGATTCTGTCCCTTTCTGTCTGAGATCATGGGGTTGAAGCTCAAGGATTAAAATTCCCTCTTCCCTAGCACCCCGCGCGCCTATTGTGCCAGCCCTAACTTCCAGGAGGGAGCTCGAGGGTGTAGCCCGTGGGTGTAGCTGGGGGTAGGTTGGAGGGAGGGGGAGGATAAAAGAGTCCCCACTGGGTTCCGCTTCTGCGCTTCAGGGCAATTTGCTTTTGCTGAAGTGCCCAGGCACAAGTGGCCAAGCACAGGGGGTCCCAGGTTCTTTCCTCCCCGGGAATTCTGGCTCTGGCCCTCCAGAGTGCCCCTGAGCATTGATGGGGGGCAGGGGCTTATCCTTATTACTGCCCACAGGGGCTTACAGGGTTTAGAATAAGCTCTCTAGTTACACAAGTAGGATGGGAGGGGCAGGGCTCCGGGGCCAGGAAGGGGGGCCCTGCAGCACCCTCTGGGTCAGGGTGAGTGTGGGTTCCCAAAGCCTGCCTCATGGTCAGAGCCATGAAGAGGCTGGGGTACTGAGCACAGTGTGGCCATGCAGGCAGAGATGGGGGCTGAGGGCTACAGGAGATACACCTTCCTGCCGTCCCTCTGTTGGGCTGAGGGGTGTCTGCAGCCAGCGCCCTCCCCGTGCCAGAGGGCAACCCGCTGCCCAGGAGATGGGTGAGAGGAAGCGGCACAAGCCACAGGGCCAAAGAGCCGCACTAGTCGGGAGAGTGACACCCCTTGCTGCGTCCCACCCAGGCCTGGGCACGGTGCTCCTCGGGTGCCAGAGGGAGTGGTTAGCATTCTGGCAGTTGATGCTGCAGGGCGTGCTCTGCGCTGGGCAGAGGGGAGACCCTGTATCTCCTATAGCACCAATTTTGTGCCTGGGCATCTTGGGCTGTGCTCTGGATTTTGGAGATGGGAGGTTCCTGCAATTCTCAGCCTGGTTTTTCCCCTGCTGGACTCACCTCCCACCATGTGCTACAGCCCCACTAACTCACCTTGGAGAGGTGGCCCGGTGCCAGATGAATTTACTCTGCAAAGCCAAGCTGCTCTGGGGAAGAGACTAGAATCCAGGCCTCTGCAGGCACATGGATGCATCAGGCTTTGCAGGCTGTGACCTCCACAGGGGGCCGGCCTGGCTTAATGGGTTCCTGCCCTGACCTTCCCCAGGGCCTTGGCTTCAGCCCTTACAAAAAATATTTAAAACCAGGTATAAGAAGATGCTGCCTCTTCCAGTGAATCTCTCAGGTGGAGCTCTGAGCCACTGAGGGGAAAGGCCAGCATCAGCAGAGAAGAGACTTCTGGGTACCGCGCTGGGCCTCAGGAGACCCCAGCTCTGCCACTGATCTGCAGGGTGGCTTTGGTCAGGGCCTCTGTTTCTCTTCTCAGCCCGTGTGTCGGGTCCATTCAGATTGCAGGGGCTCTGGGGCAGGGACAGTCTCTCATGTTGTGTCTGGGCAGCACCTGGCACAATGGGGCCATGATCTTGGTTATGGTCTTTAGGTGCCACCACAGCACCAATCAACCAAGCAGGAGTGCCGCATTCGCAGTTCCAGAGCCAGGCTCGGAATATGGCTGGGATCCAGGCAAAGGCTCTGAGAGGATCTAAAGGGACCTTTGGTTCGAGCAAGTCTTTTATTGAGGAGGAACAAGCAGCAAGTGGTATGAGTACAGAAGGACAGGTTCTAAACACTCTGCCCCAGGCAGGCAGAGCCCTGCCCCTGAGTGTGGCCTTCGACCTCTGCTGCTAGTTTATTCATTTCAGTTCCTGGCTGCTGCCACCTGCATGCCTCCCCAAAGCCCTTTCTTCCCTGGAAAGCCAGGGAGTCCATGACAGAAACCGTCTTGCAGGTAGCCCCTGTCAATGTGGCTGGGACTCCAGCTCCCTCCAGCCACGTCCTGCCCCCATTGGGCTGGTCTCCAGCGGGACAAGCATCCCCCCACTATTGCTTTTATTCAGCTCTTGGGCCGTGTGCTGGTGGGGGGGTCCCCACTGCGAGATGGGGAATGCGCTGAGAACACTGCTGGTTCTGGAAGGTTCTGTCAACACCCTAGCCTCGGGGGAGGTGCAGAACAAGACTGGCCAGTAGCCAGGGGCTAACACAGTGAGAGAGCTTCACCCCTCCGCTGGCAGAGCCCTTCGCCAGTGCCCCTCGCACATCTCTCTTCTGCCTCTGTCCTGACATGCTCTGGCTCCCCCACCTGAATGCCCGAGAGTAGCTGGCTGTGTAATTTCATCCCACACAATGGCTGCCTCTCAGGCATGGAGGAGATTTCTCTGTGGGGCAACCGTGTCCTACGTCAACGCCACATTCAGAACGGGGGAAAGAAAAGAAACCCAAACTAGCTCCTCCCTGAGACAGACACCAGGAGGGAAGTGGAGAGAGAGATTAATCCCCCAGAGACACCGCCAGAAGACCCATCCACCCCACTCTTCTCTCTGACAGTGGCCAGATACTTCAAAGGAAGGGGGAAGAACCCCCATAATAGACTCTTTTAGAGGTTGGATTACACCCTAAAATTCTCTCTCTAAACACACTCAAGTGGGGCTGTGGATGTTCTCATTCTCCACAGAAATGTCTGACCTTTTTTAATCTTGCTAAACCTCAGTGAGCTCTTGTGTCAGTGAGCTCCATGGGTTAATCACATACTGCATGAAAAATATTTCCTTGGATCAATTTGGAGTTTGCTGCCTTTGAGTTTCATTGCCTGGTCCTTTGCTCTTGTGCTACACGGAGATAGGGAGGGGCCTGGCTGACATGCAGCATCACATCCATCGTGTTGTAAAACTCTTGCTTTGCTGCCACCATCTTATCCAGCCCCTCTCTAACCAAACACTCCTAACCTCGTCAGTCTCTCCCATACCGCAGCCTGCCCCAGCCTCTAACGCAGGGCAGGGCCCATCTCCCAACCGTCTGAGGGAACAATGCTTCCTGCTCAGGAGAACTCCAGCCAAGGGCCCAGTGTAAGTGTCACATGATGCTCATGGTGGAGGGAAGGGCTCTGCTCAAAAACCAAGGACCAGAACTTCAAAAAAGCCCTTGCCTGGCAGCAGAGACTTGGAAGACAAGGACACCAGCGACTGGGCCTGTGCGCCCCATGCAGGGGGGACCATCCTGAAACCAACGGGCTTGGATTCCACCTGCTGAACCTGGCTGGTAGACCAGCAATTGGCACAGACGATTGCTCTGGAGGGTTTGACCATGCCAAGGACTCCACCTGCACATGCCAGGGAAAAAACACACAACCCAGCGCTCTGCACAAGCACAACATAAGAACGGCCAGACTGGGTCAGACCAAGGGTCCATCTAGCCCAGTGTCCTATCTTCCGACAGTGGTCAGTGCCAGGTGCCCCAGAGGAAACGAACAGAACAGGGAATCACCAAGTGATCCATCCGCTGTCACTCATTCCCAGCTTCTGGCAAACAGAGGCTAGGAAGCCCATCCCTGCCCATCCTGGCTAACAGCCTTTGAGGGACCGATCCTCCATGAACTGATCTAGTTCTTTTTTTGAACCCTGTTATAGTCTTGGCCTTCACAACATCCTCTGGCAAGCTACATAGAGAGGGAGCCAGGCTCAGACAGGCCCACAGAGTGCGACAAACATACTCTGACACCCCATCACAGGTACACACATCCCCCTTCCCCTCTCCACCACGCAGGACCCTCATGACAGGCCCTGAGTAATGGAGGAGTCCACAATCATTCACAGGAAGAAATCAAGGGCAGTTTTGCTCCTTCCTCCCAGCCCCATGTGGCTCTTTTCCTCCTCTCTCTGCTGTAACCTAGCCAGCTCACACTCCCGCTCTCCCTGTGACGAGCAGAACTGTACCCAGCCCTCATGACCAGTGTCCGTATGGACGTGAGGTGTCTCTGGCGCTGTAGCCAAGAATAGTTTAAAGGAACAAATTAAAGTCAGAGCCAGAGAGCTCCCCCGGTATCTAGGGTGCACAGTCAGGTGCCAACTCAGTTCACGGACAGTCCAGCCTCCTGCAGGGAGAAAGAGGCTTTGGAGAGCTAACAGTGGTGGGGCCCCAAATTTCCCTAACAGGAGAAACCAACAGTCAGAAGCTGAGGATTAGCGCTGGTCACTAATGCCTCTCTGGGGGCCACGCTGTACGCTGGGTTAACCCTTTCCAAGCCACGACTCTGGGGACTTTCCAGCTGCAGTCAAGAGCTTTCCTCTGATTAGTACTTTGCTAGGAGTGCCAGCCCTGAAGGACTCTGGCTATGGAGCGGTTAATGTCATCTGCCCCAGCTCATTGGCCCCTGACAAATGCCATACACAAGCTCACTGAGCTAACCTTGTCCTTCCTCTCCCAGTCCCCTCCTGCTGACTGCCCAAACCCACCTGGAGCCTCTTGTCTCAGATTTACCTTGTAAGCTCTTTAGGGCAAAGCCCGTCTTTTATTCTGTGTCAGGTAGCGCCCAGCACAATGAGGCCATGATCTCGATTGGTCTCAGCTGCTACCATAATGCAGATAATAAACAACATCAGCGTAATCCAACCTGGACAGCTACCTACCAGCCCCTCTGCATGTCACCCTGTCACCTTCACCAGGCAGAGCTGCAGGGAACATGACTTCACAGAAGCTGCAGCTTGTAAACGTGGGGCCTTCTCACTTACGCTGAGGCCCTTACAGGGGTGCAGATGTAACACATGGCTGCTGTATGGCCCTTCGCATTCTGCTGGAGCAGTGTAAAGGATCCTTAGCATCAATGAGAATCAGGGCCTCCGGGCATTGCCTGGCTCTGCAGGGGGACCCCTGGTTACATCTACATGTGAGCAGGCTACTTTCAGTTTTACAACGGGACTCAGGTGCTAGTCTTGTGCTGGGTCACAGTGACCGTGGCATAATTTTCCACTAGAAATTAACGTCTTGCATCTTCATCCCCCATAGAGAAAGTCCATCCTATGTGACTCAACAACGCTGTGACATCCAATTCCTTCCCACCACGTAGACATCCCAGTAACACCCTGGAGATCCCAGGGACATGGTGTGCCTGGACCTGCCATCACAAGGCCTACCTTCTTGCCACACACCCTGCGCTAAATGGTCACATTGCCCTTCCCAGCACATCTCCACCACCAGCCTGCACAGCCAGAGCCATTCCTGATGAGGGAGGGCTCTGCAGGCGCCCCTTCTGCTAGAGCTGGGACGAGAGTTAATCTCCTTGGATGTGGTGCGACTCCTCAGTACATTCACAAATTAAAAACAGCTCCTAGTCCACTGGCAAGAGAGAAGGGCTACTCAGAGGCAGACAGAAGGATCAGTCTTCCTCTGTTGGGGGTGCACAGGTGCCCGGTGAGTGAGGTCGGTTCGGCCCAGCTACCTAGAAGCTCTGCCCTGTCCATACACGAAGCACTGCCAGGCTCAGATGGATGCATGAGTGAGCTATGGGAGAGGTTGCTGGAACACTTGGGACTGCAGGAGTAGGAGGGTTTGAGTCACTCCCAAGGGCTGAGCGTGGGATACCCTATGTCCTGCAGCCAGAGGAATTAGCCTGGGATTCTATAGGGTTGGAAAATGCTAAAGCAGAACGATTGCTGAGCAGCAGAAGCACATCCCGGTCAGTCCCCTGGCCTCTCTGCATGTTACTTTTAGCCCCTGCCTTATTGGAGAGTAGAGCAAGAGGGGAGGACTAACCATGTGGTGGACAGAGCCCGTCCCTGGAAAGTCAGGGACAGGAATCCTTCCAAGGAGAAGGGGCAGGGGGTGAATTCTGGGCAGCAGGGGAGTTTCTGATTCTGGTGATCAGCTGGCCTCCCAGGGTCACACCGGGCCTGCCTGAAAGGGGTTCCCAAGAATAACAGAGGGACCACTCTAGGTGTGGCCTCCTTGGGGTAAAACCCAGTGGGCCCAGTGATGCTGGTGAGTCTGGGTGCAGGGAAGGCTCATGATAGTGAGGACTTGGAAATAGAAACTTCCTGCACAGCAAAGCGAACGGCATTGGATTTGTGTCCTGTCAGTTCTTAGTCCCCAACTCCCCTACAGCTCCCCTACAGCTGCTGCCCTGCTCCCACCTGGAGGTAGAGGGACCCTGGTGACAAGACTGAGCTTCCTGAGTGGTCTGGGGAGGAGGGACCCTGGTGCCTGGCTTGTAGGAATAGCACAAGCTGCTGAGGAAGGGCCCCTCCAGGTTTCCTGGGGAACAGAGCCTTCCCCCCCACCCCGCCCTAGCTCACTGCCCAGCCATCCCTGGGATGTCACCCCCTAGCCTCCTACCAGTGCTGTAGGGCTCAGGTGCCCCAGCCTGGTGAGAGGACCCTGGCATCCGGGTTAGCCCCACATCACCTCCCCCGCAAAATGGGACCGGGGCTGCAGGCCCCAGAGCACCAGCACAAACAGAAGACAGATGCTCATGGCGTGAGGGAGCAACCGCTGGAGGAGCAGAGGGTATGGGCCATGGGGGACAGGGAGGACAGACTGCAGCCCCCTCACTCCGCTGAGACCTCAACCTATGAGCCACCGGGACCCACCCCGGGGGCTGAGCAGGGCCCACTCCAGCAGGGGAAGGCCAGGCTTAGCCTGCAGCCTCACAGTCAGCACCCAGGACAGCGCCAGCCCCAGGCTGGCAGAAGGGAGGACATGGTGGGGGAGCTGGGCAGACAGCCTTGCACGGGGATGGGCGGGGATGCATGCAACCTGACCGCCCTGAGTATCAACTGGAGGACCGGGGCTTGGCTGGGGTCAGGAGGGGCAAGGGCCCCTCTCACCTGAAGTCGCTGAAGGGGTGGCTGGGTAGGGCCAGACTGGGCGGCTGGCTAGGGAGGATGGGGTCAGGGGTGGCCGGCTAGCAGGTGGTCCTTAGCAGGTGCCGGGGCCCCTCTCACCGGAAGTCGCTGTAGGGGTGGCTGGGTAGGGCCAGACTGGGCGGCTGGCTAGGGAGGATGGGGTCAGGGGTGGCCGGCTAGCAGGTGGTCCTTAGCAGGTGCCGGGGCCCCTCTCACCGGAAGTCGCTGTAGGGGTGGCTGGGTAGGGCCAGACTGGGCGGCTGGCTAGGGAGGATGGGGTCAGGGGTGGCCGGCTAGCAGGTGGTCCTTAGCAGGTGCTGGGGCCCCTCTCACCGGAAGTCGCTGAAGGGGTGGCTGGGTAGGGCAGACTGGGCGGCTGGCTAGGGAGGATGGGGTCAGGGGTGGCCGGCTAGCAGGTGGTCCTTAGCAGGTGCCGGGGCCCCTCTCACCGGAAGTCGCTGTAGGGGTGGCTGGGTAGGGCAGACTGGGCGGCTGGCTAGGGAGGATGGGGTCAGGGGTGGCCGGCTAGCAGGTGGTCCTTAGCAGGTGCCGGGGCCCCTCTCACTGGAAGTCGCTGTAGGGGTGGCTGGGTAGGGCAGACTGGGCGGCTGGCTAGGGAGGATGGGGCCAGGGGTGGCCGGCTAGCAGGTGGTCCTTAGCAGGTGCCGGGGCCCCTCTCACCGGAAGTCGCTGTAGGGGTGGCTGGGTAGGGCAGACTGGGCGGCTGGCTAGGGAGGATGGGGCCAGGGGTGGCCGGCTAGCAGGTGGTCCTTAGCAGGTGCCGGGGCCCCTCTCACCGGAAGTCGCTGTAGGGGTGGCTGGGTAGGGCAGACTGGGCGGCTGGCTAGGGAGGATGGGGTCGGGGTGGCCGGCTAGCAGGTGGTCCTTAGCAGGTGCCGGGGCCCCTCTCACTGGAAGTCGCTGTAGGGGTGGCTGGGTAGGGCAGACTGGGCGGCTGGCTAGGGAGGATGGGGTCAGGGTGTCCGGCTAGCAGGTGGTCCTTAGCAGGTGCCGGGGCCCCTCTCACCGGAAGTCGCTGTAGGGGTGGCTGGGTAGGGCCAGACTGGGCGGCTGGCTAGGGAGGATGGGGCCAGGGGTGGCCGGCTAGCAGGTGGTCCTTAGCAGGTGCCGGGGCCCCTCTCACCGGAAGTCGCTGTAGGGGTGGCTGGGTAGGGCCAGACTGGGCGGCTGGCTAGGGAGGATGGGGTCAGGGGTGGCCGGCTAGCAGGTGGTCCTTAGCAGGTGCCGGGGCCCCTCTCACCGGAAGTCGCTGTAGGGGTGGCTGGGTAGGGCCAGACTGGGCGGCTGGCTAGGGAGGATGGGGTCAGGGGTGGCCGGCTAGCAGGTGGTCCTTAGCAGGTGCCGGGGCCCCTCTCACTGGAAGTCGCTGTAGGGGTGGCTGGGTAGGGCAGACTGGGCGGCTGGCTAGGGAGGATGGGGTCAGGGGTGGCCGGCTAGCAGGTGGTCCTTAGCAGGTGCCGGGGCCCCTCTCACCGGAAGTCGCTGTAGGGGTGGCTGGGTAGGGCCAGACTGGGCGGCTGGCTAGGGAGGATGGGGTCAGGGGTGGCCGGCTAGCAGGTGGTCCTTAGCAGGTGCCGGGGCCCCTCTCACTGGAAGTCGCTGTAGGGGTGGCTGGGTAGGGCCAGACTGGGCGGCTGGCTAGGGAGGATGGGGTCGGGGTGGCCGGCTAGCAGGTGGTCCTTAGCAGGTGCCGGGGCCCCTCTCACTGGAAGTCGCTGTAGGGGTGGCTGGGTAGGGCAGACTGGGCGGCTGGCTAGGGAGGATGGGGCCAGGGGTGGCCGGCTAGCAGGTGGTCCTTAGCAGGTGCCGGGGCCCCTCTCACCGGAAGTCGCTGTAGGGGTGGATGATCCAGAACCCGGCCGATTTCACCCGCTGCTGCTCCAGCTCCACCGCCTTGTGGCTGCCAAACATGCGCAGCGAGAACTTGTTGACCGCGGGCTGCAGCATGGCCCCGAGCTGGCGCTGCACGAAGGTGCCGGCCAGCGCGGCGGGGTCCTCGGCGTCCGCCAGGATCTGCTCCGCCGCCTCCGCCTTGCCGGCCGCGGGCTGCGAGGCGGGCGCCCCCGCGGGGGTTACTGCGCGGGGCGGCTGGCCTGGCCCAGAGCCCGCGCTACCCTCGGGGCGCCCGGGGGCCTCCCCGTCCAGCACCAGGGGCTTGTCCCGCGGCTCGGCGCCCGGCGCCCTGCGCGCCCCGTCCCGGGGCTCCGTGCCCGGCGCTGCCTCCATCCTGCCGGGGAAGCGCCCTGCTCAGGTTCCCTTCAAACGCCCTTGCCCGGGCGCCCGGCCCGGCTCCCCTGGGCACATGCTGGCCGCAGCCAGAGCCGGCGGGTGGGAGGCGGCCGCAGCTCGGGGGCGCGGCGGGGGACGCTGCCGGGGGCGCGGGGATCCCCGAGGGGGGCGCTCCGCTCCCTGCCCCGCAGCCGGGCTCAGCCGCGGGCCGCGGGGGCCGCCGGCCGCTGCTCCCCCATGGCCGCCCCAGGGCAGGTGCCGGCGGGGCAGAGCGAGCCTGTTGCACACGCCCAGGCGGGGAGACGTCAGCTGGGCTCGGGGAGCCGCAGCTCCATCCTCCGGAGCGCGGGCAGGCAGCGGCGGCTCGGCCCAGCCAGCGGCGAGCCGGGGCTCGGCTAGGCCCGTGCTGCCCCCTGACGGGAGCCCGGAGACTGCAGCGGGGGGGAGGTGCCGAGTGGGGCCCCGCCCCTGCTGGGCAGCGTGGGGGCGGCGCCCAGCCCCCGCCGGGGAGCACTTTCCGTGAAGGGGACTCTCAGCTTCCTTCTGTGAGAAACAAACCTCTTTCCATCCCTTGTCCTTGAAACACCCCAGTGAAAGCACCTATTGCAATTCTGGGGAGGGGAAAGCTTGGCTGAGCCCTGCCCCCCAACCCAGTCCCTCCCTGCACCCCCAGGCCAAGGCATCCCTTGGGCCTAGGACAGAAGACCATAAGACTGGCCACACTAGGTCAGACCAATGGTCCATCTAGCCCAGTGTCCTGCCTGCCCGTGCCAGAGGCTTCGGAGGGAATGAACAGAGAGGGCATCCCTCCTCTCCAGTCCCAGCTTCTGAAGTCAGAGGCTAGGGACATCCAGAGCATGGGGTTGGGTCCCCGCTCATCTTGGGTAAGAAACACTGATGGATCTGTCCCCATGAACTTGTCCAGTCTTTTCTGAACCCAGTTGTACTTTTGGCCTGAAGAACATCCCCTGGCAATGAGTTCCACAGGTGCATTGTGTGAAGTACTTCCTTAGGTTTGTTTCAGACCTGCTGCCTGTTAATTTCATTGGGTGACCCCTGGTTCTTGTGTTAGGTGAAGGGGTAAATAACACTTCCCTCTTCACTTTCCCCACCCTCTGTCATATCCCCCTTAGTTGGCTCTTTTCCAAGATGAACCAGTCCCAGATTTAATCTCTGCTCATACAGAAGCTATTCCATCCCCCTGGTCATTTTTGTTGCCCTTCTCTGCACCTTTTCCGATTCTAATGTATCTTTTGTGGGAGGGGGCAACTAGCCCCGCAGGCCATGTTCAAGGTGTTGGGTACCAAGGATTTATATAGCGCCATGATGATATTTGGTGTCTTATTATTTATCCATTTCCAAATCGTTCCAAACATTCTGTTTGCTTTTGGACAGCCTCTGCACACTAAGTGGATGTTTTCGGAGAACTACCCACAATGACTCCAAGATCTCTCTCTCTTGAGTAGTAACTGCTAATTTAGACCCCATCATTTCAGACCCTATTTCTTTGCCTTTTGCAGGCTGCCATCCCACTTTACAACAGAAAAAAATTCTAGGTCTCTGTTCCCCTAAAGCTCCTGATCCTGGCCAGCCCGTCCGTGGCCCCACACAGATGTGCACGGCCCCACCAGTAACACATCTGAGCTCCACGGCTGACTGGTCCGGGAAGGGGGGGACTCCTCTTCTGACCCCCTGGAGCCTGGCTTACAGGTACAGCACAAGCTGCACTTGTAACGCAGGAGAGGCCATGCCGGGGCTCCTGGGCAGCAGAGCCCGCACACCCCAGCCCCCGGTGCTCACTGCCCCACCAGCCATAAAAAACAGGATGGTGCTGGTGCCCATCTGGGCCTCGGCAGCGTCATCCCCCGCCCCCCAGGTATTGCCCTTGCGGGCAATGAACTCTAGACATGGAGGGAGCAAGGGGCCCTGAGTGGCAGGACAAGGCGGGTCCAGGCCCAGCTCTGCCCTCCTCTCCTATGTGGTGTCTGGAGCCACAGGGGTCAGAGGCGGCACAGGATCCCCCCCATGCCCCCCACGATTCCCTCCGGGCTGCTGCTGGCTTGGAGGCCAGAAAGATTTGCCCCCCTGCACAACACCAGCCCATACTAGGAACCAGCGCCTGGGAGTGGTGGGGCGGGGGCTGGGCCCAGTCAAGGTGCCACAGGGCAGGGTCAGGTTGGCGCATGTGTTTTGGGGGGTCATGGTTGGCCTTGCAGGGGGTATGTGATGGGGGTTGGGTCATGGTTGGCCTCTGTGTGTGTGGGAGGGAGTGGGGGGGGAAGGGTCCCAGGGCAGGGTCACGGTTGGCCCGTGTGTGTGTGTGTGTGTGTGCGGGGCGGGGGGGGGGGGTTCCCAGGGCAGGAGGCGGTTGGCCCGGGGAGGGGCGGGCCCGGGGCAGGGGGGGGCGGTCCCAGGGCAGGACGCGCTTGGCCCGCCGGGGGGGGGCGGTCCCAGGGCAGGAGGCGGTTGGGGGGGGGGCGGTTGGCCGGGGGGGGCGGTCCCAGGGCAGGAGGCGGTTGGCCGGGGGGGGGGGCGGTCCCAGGGCAGGACGGGGGTTGGCCCGCCGGGGGGGCGGTCCCAGGGCAGGAGGCGGTTGGCCGGGGGGGGCGGTCCCAGGGCAGGACGGGGTTGGCCCGTGGGGGGGGGGGGGGGGGGGGAGGAGGGGTTGGCCGGGGGGCGGTCCCAGGGCAGGAGGCGGTTGGCCGGGGGGGGGCGGTCCCAGGGCAGGAGGCGGTTGGCCCGGGGGGGGGGCGGTCCCAGGGCAGGATGGGGTTGGCCCGTGGGGGGGCGGTCCAGGGGGAGGGGTTGGCCGGGGGGGGCGGTCCCAGGGCAGGACGGGGTTGGCCCGGGGGGGGGTGGGGGGGGGGGGGGCCGGGGGGGGGGGCGGTCCCAGGGCAGGATGGGGTTGGCCCGTGGGGAGAGGGAGGGGGCGGTCCCAGGGCAGGACGCGCTTGGCCCGCCGGGGGGGGCGGTCCCAGGGCAGGAGGTGGTTGGCCGGGGGGGGGGCATAGGGAGGGGGCGGGGTTGCCGTGTCTCCTTTGCTTGTCGAGCGCGGGGCGGGGGATGGAGTCCGGGGGCCCCCAGGGGGTGAGAGGTCCGGGGGGCCCCCCCCCCCGCTAGTGAGGGCGAGCTCAGATCATGGCGTTACTGGTGCTGTGCCGGGGGGCCGGGGGGGGGGGGGGGGGGAGGTGGGGGTGGGGTGGATGTGTGCCCCACCCTAGGGGCTGGTGAGGCCCCAGGTGAAGGGGGCGGGGGGGCCCCGCCCTGCAAAGGGGGGGGGGGGGGCGCGAGGGGGTGAGGAGCCGAGCTCAGATCATGGCGTTTGCACTGGTGCTAGTGCCGGGCATGGGGTGTGATGTGCCCCCCAAAGGGGGGGGGGGGGCCCCCGGGGGGCACGGAGGGAGGTGGTGGGGGTGGTGTGCGCAAGGGTGGGGTGGGGTGTGATGTGTGTGATAGGGGTGGTGTAGAGGAAGGGGGTGAGGGGGTGGTGGGGTGGGGTGTGATGTGTGCCCCACACACTGATAGGGGCTGGTGATGGCTCCCACGCAGTGAAGGGGGCTGAGGGAGGTGGTGGGGGGATGCGCCCTGCACAGGGTGGGGTGGGGTGTGATGTGTGCCCCACACACTGATAGGGGCTGGTGATGGCTCCCACGCAGTGAAGGGGGCTGAGGGAGGTTCCCTTCTCGCTCCGAAGCAATTCTGACCTGTCTCTTGCAGGCTTTGAAGAGGCCGTGGCCGAGCTGTCCCAGGAGCTGGGAAGACTGGCCCAGAACCTGCAGGCGCTGACCCATTACCAGGCCACCCTCCTCAGCGTCAACAAGAGCCTGGTGAGGAGCTTCCTGCTGCTTCCCTTCCCTTCCCTCAGATGAGGGTAGCCTGTGCAAACCCCACCTCCTCAGATCAGCTGTGGGCCCACTAAGTATCCCATGTAGTTTAACTTCCTAACATGAGCCTCCCAAGAGCAGGTTCTGCACAGGTGCCCTGGTCCGGGGCACGACGCCAGCAGGCACCCACCCAGTGCAGGGATGGAATTATCTGTCCTGCTGCCCACCCCGACCCTCTCATGGCTCTGCCACTACTTGCTGTGTGACCCTGGGTGAATCGCTCCATTTGTTAAACTAAGGGCATAGCTACACTTGCAGCTGTAGAGCGCTTTCCGTTAAACCCGCATTCCGAGAGCGCAGCTGTGAAAGCTCTGGAGTCTGTCCACACGGGTGCTGCGGCGCTCTGGCAGGGGTGCACCAAACGTTATTCCACTCGCCCAGGTGGAGTACCAGGAGCACTCTAGCTGCAGAGCCAGAGCACTCTACGTGCCTTGCCAGTGTGGACGGGGAGTGAGCTAGGGCGCCCGGGGCTCCTTTAATGGGCTGTAACTCGCAAGTGTAGCCAAGCCCTGAGTACCTTGCTAGGTAGCATTTTTATCTCCAAAGAACCCTACCAACTAATTCCAGAGTCCCCTTGCTCGCAGGGCAGGATCAGTGACGTAGGCTGAGTCTGTATGGGTACTGGAGTGTTCACATCGGTTTGTGAGCCTTTGTGGTACAAATGGGTTGTTCTCGCAGTGTTAGCTTAGCACTTTGTTAGGCAGACTAAGCTCTGTGTCTCTAACCTCCTTCCTTTCCCACCATAGTGCTCATGGATGGAGAACATCAATGAATTATCCAAGCATCGGAAACGTCTTCCCATATTTGCAGCTCCTGGAAAGTGAGCTAGGAATTGTCTGGTAGATTGCACAGTGCCCATAGCAGAGAATGTCTGAACTTATTTTGGTCCCTGTGATAAGGGAAGGGAGCAAATCCCTCTCTGAGTCTTCAGTGAGCCCCCTGGAAACTGTGTTATTGGCTGAGGAATAAACAGAATACCCCATTAAACTAGATTGGTTCCTTTTTTAAAAAAACAGTAATGTGAGAATTCCCAGCTGTGGCTGAATGCTGACTATAGCAGGTGAGCTGGGCCTTGTTTCCTCTGACTCAAAGTCCCTCTAGCTTCCACTGTTTCTAAGGAATCTCAGCTATTAACCTGGCTGGCTCAGAATGGTGCCCGGTGCCCCCTCCATAGGCAGAAGCAGCCACTGTGGGAAGGTGACAGCCCTGAATGCTCTTCCTCCCCCTTTGTCTTTATTTACAATCTGGTTTGCTTCTTCCCTCAAAGA